AGCTGCTGCAGCACCGGCTGCAGCGTGTCCCTTTCCTCCTCCGGGGGGAGAACAACAAGTAATTCAGCGACCGTTAAGACACCAAAAAAAAAAAAAAAAAGAAAACCCACCCCCATTTGTGTTTCCCTTCCCCTTTTCCTTGCTGTCCCGATTTACACCGTGGCTTTCACTGTGTGTTTTCCTGGTGCGAGTGACCGTTCTCTAAGCTTCGGGCAGTGAAACCTCAAAGCCCTTTCGCTAAATGAGCTTTTTACGGTGTTTATCAACAAGCTGAGAAAGGCTTTTTTCCTCTAATATTATGCTTAATGACATCTCAAACTCATTAAGATTGGCTTTGTGCGCTCCCGGTGCACATTTTAGGAATCTTTTGGAGCATCCACCCCATGGCCGTGTGTTTTGAGAATCGAGGAGAAGGACTGAATTTAACGCTTCTCCATCAAAATCAGGCGCTCACCCAGGGCGCGGAGGCGATCCGACAGCTCCTTCTCGCGCTCCAATTTGCACTGCATCATCTTCCACCGCATGTTCTCCACTTCTTGTGACACTGGAAGGAAGAAGACCTCCGCTTTTGACCCCCATCTCGCCGCTGCCTGCGCCTGGTATTCGGGATTCTGCCCGTATTTCCCCAAAACCGCCTTTTCCTTGGCGTACCGTTCAGAAGTTGGCCATGAATCGCCTTGAGCTCGCCAGAGAGCTGTTTATCTAAGGGGAAAATAAGAGGAGAAAGCTCAAAACAAGCTCTGACCATCTCTGTCCTGATGGAAAGGGGCTTTGGTTCATTTTTTTTTGCTGGAAAAAGCACCCCAGGAAGCACCGGGGGCAAAATCTGTGCGGGTATCGAGGGTGCGGCGGGGGGCGGGGGGCCATTTTTGGGGGGGCGGGTGCGGGGGAGCCATTTTGGGGGCGAGATGTCGTACCGAGGGTGCGCTGGACCTCCGAGAGGTTGTGCCATGCCGTCACGTGGCTGTTCTTGCTCCGCGCCTGGGCTTCCTCCAACGCCTCCCGTGCCGCCGATACTGGGAGAGAGGAAGAGAGCGCTCGCCTTCGCTCCAGATCCAGCCCCAGAGAATTCGCGGGCTGCAAAAGAGCCTTGGGTCCTAACTCGGAGCCATGTTTCCCTCCATCCGCTGGTGTTTTCCCCCAAATCGCGCCCGCCCTACCCTCAGCGGGGGCAATCAGAGCAAGTAGCGCGTGGCGGACTCACCTCTCCGGAGATTCATGATGGTGAGAGCCATGAAGAGCACGAAGGTGAGGGCCAGAAGCACGTAGAGCAGCGCAACAGCTCGTTCCGGAGGCGAGACAAGGAGGGACAGCACTGCCAGGGGTGAAATCGGGTGAGGCGGCCCCCAATAACTCTCCCCCAACAGATATTTTCCTAAAGAGCAGCACAAAGAGGAGAGGTCCCACCAAAAAGAACCTCTCGAGTGGCTCCACCACCCCGTCCTCCACGTTCGGAACTCTTTTTTTTCCTAGGTTGTGACCCAACGGAGGAACCAGGCATGAAAATTTGGATGTAACTTCGGAGAAAGACAAGTTTAAAGAGCTGAAACCCTCCACTTTCACATCTCTGGATCCCCAAATCGCCCCGATACCTCCTTTAGGTGTTTTCCTCCGCTCTCGTTTCTGCAACGCCACCCCGTCATCAAAATCGCATCTCTCGTAGGTGCCAACGGCACCTTCGCCTGGTGACATCTCGGATCCTTTTCTTTTGACGCTGGCCCAATTTATGCAGTGGGCAAGATACGTCATCTCATCCTGGGGGGAAGGAAACGCTCGCGTTTCGTAATTCTGATTTCCTAGAAAAAAATAAAAATCTGCGCACTCAGGAGCTTTGGAGCGGCGAACGCGCTTGGGCAGCCCCTTCCCTGTTGATTTTTAGAAGATTTGGTTAAAAAACATACTCTGCTCTCCTCAAACGAGGCTGACGCCCGCCCGGGGAGGCCGTTTTTGGAGGCTTCATGCCGAAATGGCCAAGGTGAGCACCTAAATTTCGCTTTTTTTTTTTTTTTTTTTTTGGTTTGGTTTGGTGGGAATTCTTCAGCATTTTGTTCAGCGTTTTTTTGTGATAATTTCGTGCGTTCTTAATGCGAGAAACTTAGCGTTGTGAAAATCCTCGGGGGTTTGCGCGCCGTTTCCTTCATTCCTTCTCTGGAAAATTCTTTCTGTTGCTCGAATGCCCGCAGGGCTTTGAGCCAGGCATCCTGTGGGCTGGCTATCGTGGAAAATGAAAGTTAGAACTTATGAATAACTTCACCATTGACCAATTTCAGCTGAATGTCACAGCGGCACACCCCGGGAAGAGCAAACACAGCCAAAAGTGGCACGTCCCTCGCTCCGCTCCCCTGCTCTCAGGTCAAGCAGCTTCCTCCTTTTGTCCAGTTTCCCCTTTTTTGATCCCGATTTTCGGGGAAGTCGAGGCCAAACTTCTCCCCAGGGTGTCTACCCACGCCCTTTGGGGTCAAAACGCTGTGGATTTGGCCCATGCGCTCTCGCGGTGGTTCTCTCTGCTGCCAGCGTGCAGTTTGTCCCAGTGGCATGAGAAAGTTTAAAAAAAAAAACAAAAAAAACCCCAAAAAATCACCGATGGCGCTTTTTAAGCTGTAAGAATCGAAGACAGATAAAAGTTAAGAGGGAATGGAAAACACCAGCTCCCACCCCTATACCTCTCACGTCCTTATCTCTTCAACCGTTTTTAGGGATTTATATCTTTTTATTTTTTTAAATACAGAAGCTGGGGTGGTTGAAAAACCTTTTAAGCTCCCCAAAACCCCCCCACTTCTCAGCACCACTAAAAATATCCCCGATGGCACCTCAGCACCCCCAGGCCCTGGGGACACCCCCGGTGTCCCACAGCCCTGTCCCTGGGGACAGCAGGCCTCTCAGGGCCCCCATATCCCTGTCCCTGTGCCCCAAGACCTGAAGCCCTGAGAAATGTGGGACCCCCGTCTCCCCCATTTTCGGGGAGCTGGGATCCCCATTGTCCCCCATGTCCCCAACCCTGGGTTGCTATGGGATGGGGGACCCCGGTCACCCCAACACCCCATCCCTGGGGATCTCGGGACCCCCGAGTCCGGCTCCCCCTACCCGGGCGCCCTCCCTGAGGTAATGGCGGTTGACTCCACCCTGCACCCCACACCGCAGAGCTGCGAACAGCTACTCGACGCCCCATAGGTGGAAGAGTCTGCCTATCATCCCTCTTCAGCCAATAAGAGCCGCAAATCTCCCCGGGAAGGCGGGATCAGCCACCTGTGCTGGAGGGGTGAATGCCGCCTAGTCTCCGCGCCCCTATAGGCTGCCTCACCTTCTCCTGCGCCAGCGATTGGTAGAGTCTCCTGTCAATCAAACCCAAACCCTTCAGCTGAAGAGGCGGGGCTT